TTTTAATATATCTAAGTTCATTAGTCTTTTCTTTTTTAATTTAATATTGTAATTTATTCACCTCTACTTTCCTGTTAGTTTCTTATATTACGGAAGTTTGAGAGTTTCTCTGATTCTGGAAGCAATGACATTGGTATTCCAAATGCCAGGAGAATCACCCACAATGAATATGCTTCAGTGGACTTTCCAGACTAATACAGACTGGAAAAATTGACATGACAATTCACTTTCAATAGTGATAAAAAACTAATAAGTGAAAATTTATCAAAAGTAGCAAATATGTTTTAGTAGAGACTAGAAGATAATAAAATACACAGTGGCTAAACAATGAGATATATTATAGTAATGATTGTGAGATTAGTTATTAAGAATTAAGGGTAATGAAGATTAGAGACTCTGAATAATGAACTACAAAGCCAAAAAGAAAAAACAAAGGGAAGAAATCAAGACATTAAGTAGCTGAATAGAAGATTTCAAAGGGCAGAACAGGAAGACAAAGCAAAGTACTATAATGAAAGGTGCAAAGAACTGGAGTCCAAGTATCAAAAGGGCAGAACTTGCTTGGCATTTCTTAAGCTGAAAGAACTAAAGAATAAATTCAAGCCTTGAGTTGTAATACTTGAGGAAACTATTGATTGAATATTGAATGATCCAGGAAGTATTAAAAAGTCACAGTACCAAAAAGAATTGGCAGACACAGAAGAATTTCAAAAAACAACATATGATCAAGAGGCAATAGTGATGAAGGAGGAACTTCAAGCTGCTTTGAAGTAATTGGCAAAAAATAAAGCTGCAAGAATTGATGGAATACCAATTTCAACAAACAGATGAGCGCTGGATGTGCTCACCAGGTTGTGCCAAGAAATCTGGAGAACAACTACCTGACCTTCTAACTGGAAGAGATCCATATTTATTCCTATTCAAAAGAAAGATGATGCAAGAGAATATGGAAATTATTGTACAATAACACTCATATCACACCCAAGCAAAATCCTGCTGAAGATTATCCAGAAATGACTGAAACAGTACATTGACAGAGAATGATCAAAAATACAAGCTGGGTTTGGAAGTTGTACTAAATACATTATCACCACTGTCAGATGGATCTTGGCAGAAAGCAAAGACTACCAGAAGGATATCTGTTTGTGTTTTTGACTATACAAAGAAATTTGACTGTGTGGATCACAACAAATTGTGGTTAACCTTGAGAAGAATGGAAATTCAAGAACACTTAATTGTACTTATGTGAAACTTATATTTGGACCAGGAAACACTCCTCACAACCGAGAAGAGAAACAATGTATGTTCAAAATCTGGAAGGGAGTGTACCTGGGATGCGTCCTGTCTCCATACCTTTTCAATCTTTATGCTTAATAGTTCATTTGGGAGACTGGCTTTATGAGGAGGAATGTGGCATTAGGATTGGAGAAAGATTCATCAGTAACCTGTGTTATGCAGAGGACACAACCCTGCTTGCTGAAACTGAGGTGGACCTGAAGCATTTGCTGCAGAAGGTCAAGGACTGTAGTCTTCAGTATGAATTGAAGCTCAACATCAAGAAGACAAAGATATTCACCACTGGGCCAATTGGCAGCACCATGATAGATGTAGAAGAGATTGAGGTTGTTAACAGTTACAGCTTGCTTGGCTCCACAAGCAACATATTTGGCACCAACAGTCAGGAGAGCAAAAAATTAATTGCATTAGGTACAGCTGTTGTCAGGGACCTTTCCAGAGTACTAAGAAGCAACAATGTCAGTCTAGAGACTAAGGGCCATGGGTTTTACAATTACTTACTATGCATCAGAGAGCTGGATAATGACTAAGAATAACAGAAGAACAATTGATACCTTTCAGTTGTGGTGCTGGAAAAGAGTCTTGAACATACAGTAGATGACCAAGAAAATAAATAGGTCTGTCTGGGTGAGGGTGAAACAAAGTTTCTTCACGGAGGCTAGGATTTTGAAGCTCTATCTCACATACTTTGGGCATATGGCCAGGAGGGACTGGTCCATAGAGATTGACATCTGCTGGAAGGGTGGAGGGACAGCAGAGGAGAGGAAGACCCTGGATGAGATAGATTGACACAGTAACTATGGCAATGAGGTTAGGTGTGTCAGAGTCAGTGAGAATGGCTCAGGACAGGTCGGGCTTCAGAGCTGTTGTACATAGGGTCACTATGAGTTGCAGGTGACTTGATGGTACATATCAACAATGACAGTTTGGGGTATGCTTTTATAGGTGGGTTTCCTTAATCAGCCACAGCTTGAGGAGATTATCTTTTTTTTCCAATAAATTCTATTTATTGTGGTATTTCTTTTTTTTAAATTTAGGTTGTTTATTTTTCATTTCAGTGAACATCTACAGAGATTTTGGAATTCCATTCATTCATTGTTGCACCCTTCTCCCCGC